AAACTCCGAGTATACATAAGTAGATAGTACGTAACTAGCGCGCCTTGGTTGTCATTCCTGCTCTGCAGATCAATATATTCACACAGCAGCGCCACAACTAAAGATGCTGTAACACTTTGTTCGGGATATACTCTTTACGTGTCTTTGTATTAATATGTGGGCTCTTAGCTGTATAAACACAATCTCTAGCGCATTCGAGGCTGCCGGAGGTGGAGCTGCAGTGTATGCTGGCAGCGAATCGTGGTATTGCTAGTCAAGCAGAAATTTACTAGCGACGAGATGGAGCGTAGAGAAAGCTTTGAGACTAAGGTCCCTATCCTGAGATTTTCTATGTCTTTCCTTTACATTTGGCTTTTTTTTAGGTTGGAACACTGCCTGCATGCTGCTACACAGGGTTTTCCGCCACACGTGGAGGGATAGTACTTTAGTCCTTTGGCAAAGGCACAGCGGTTGTAGTGCAGAAGCTGATGTTGTCGCAAGAGCGTATAGCTGACCTGGAAGTGGCAAATTAAGCTGCCATGCGATGTACTTTAGCAAAAAGAAAGCGGTCATAGAAGGATAGTATCCTCCATGAAGAAACGAGCGCGATTGACACATTTAGGAGGGCTTATCGTGTGTATCCATGGGTATGGGGCAAAGGTAAGCGCCTGCTTTGAGATGGATGAAATGTCTCAAGGATGCTTACGGCTTATAGCTTCGCTTCTATAGCACTTTACTATAATGGACCATCATAGTTTATGGTAGGGTCTTGGTAGTGATTAGGCTGCCTGTATAGTGCGTTGCAAAGAAAGACATGTCGGGAAAAATTGAGTTTAGATGTTACTACATAGGAAGGCGACATATTGAACACTGTGCTATCCGGTGCCCGTTCCTATCTTTTCCAGGTACTAATTTAATTACATTCTTCGTTTCTCTTAGACGTTCCCCCAGCACTCCCATATACGGTAATATTGACAGAAACAAACCACAGCATTACGCAATGCCAGTTCATCTTAAACTCGTGTGTTGATCCATCTATCAAAACTCCTCACCAATAGTGATATTTGTTTTGCTGGCGAATACCTTCGAGATCTTGACCCCTAAGATAAACTTTCCAGGAACGCCAGAATCAGAGACTGTCTCTGATGCAACAAAAACTGAGTTTTCCAAAGTCTTGTAATGTGCTTCGCCTCCTCTGAAAACAGGGGTCAAAACTGTCAAACATGTAAGTATGCAGTTGCACAAAGTCTGAATACTCATGTTATTCGCACCTCTGTATACAGTTCCGTAAGGGACCTCAAGTCCGGACGACGTGTTTCCAGAGATGATTGGTAATACTGCTTCATTGCCTAGTTGGACTCCGCCCATTCTCATCTGGAAGGGGGCAGCACCATCATTCGGCACAACCGTTCCACGAAAGTCCGGCCCGCTGATGCCAGCAGCCTCGTTGGTGGTTGCGAAGTTGACTCCAGCTGTCACTGAAGCGCTGAATTGGATTTCAAACTTTCCAACTAATTAAGTTGTGTACTTTTATGGCATTGAGAATTCCAGCAGGCTTACCTCAGGCTCGGTGTATAGCATGGCGCTCTCGAATTCGAACATGTTTAGAGCAGCGCCGAATGAATCATGACCCAAAGGTTTCTGTTTAGTAGCGGGTTAGATCCGAACACCTGAATCGCGAAGTTGTACGTACAACCGTCTTGACAGTAGCCTTTTGATATTATTCATTAGCAGCAGATTCTCAGGGTAGGTTAGTTAGGATCTCACATTGAAGAACAACGCAGGTGCAAGATAAGTAAAGGGAACCATAATTGTAGCAGACTGTAAAGAGTTCGATATAATTGTAAGAGTTATACGCGTCAGAAAGCATAGATATTTATACTGATTGTACGATAAATACTCTGGGTAGGGGCCGCCCGGATTGAGAGATCTTTTTCTAGCTCATGGCGTCACTAGTCTTGAGACTACACTCCTTCCACACATTTGAGTTGCAGTCTCTGCATTGGTACACTATAGCTCCAAATGCCAAGGCGAAATAAATAATTAACGTACGTCCTTGTGCAGCGGGAAACCAGGTGAGCCGAGAATAACAAGTAAGACATGCCGCTATGCCGTGCATCTTGCCATCGTTGTGTTCTCATTGGTTGTCCTCAGCCTACCGGATTTTTTGCTGCACACGGACTGACGTTGGTGCAAATGATAAAGGACCTAGTGGTTGTGAGACTAAGAATATGCAGGGAAAGCCTCGGGGCACTTTCTGTCATGCATCGACAGTAAACACGAGAAATTAAGAAACATATTTTTACAAATCTCATTAACTACCCCGCCGATTCTCTGGTTGTGTGCTTCATCCA